CGGGGGTAACGTTGGTGATTTCTGTTTGTTGGCATTTCTTACGCCTGCGGATAACGTTACTGCCCAAGTTGCGCACGTACCATTTCAGGTAGACCTTCTTCGGAAGAAGCACCTGCCAAAACGCCTGTCGAAATTTGTCGCTCATCGAGCAGTAGAGAATGAAAGTCACCGAACTGTTGACGAGCGACAGTAGGTCAAGGAAATTGCCTATGTTTGGATATACGTAACGCTGGACGTCAGCGACGAAAATGGCACTGAGCAGGACGACGATGCCCTGTGGCAGCTCAGAAATGAGAAACAACAATAACACAACAACAAGCATTATCGTGGTCCGATCGTAACGACGGATACCTGCCGATGAGGCTGACGAATGGAAGTTCAGAGGCATCAGGGAGTCACGGCGCTGTCTGGCATTCCTAACCGTGTAAATCAGGCTGCCGATAAACAACGACAATGCGACGCATGGAATGGTTTTGAATAAGATGCCGTTCATCCACAGAACGCCGATGTACAGACGGCAGTCGCTGACCCTAATGGTGTAGGTGCTTGCCCTTGTTGACATTGAGGCATTTTCAGAGACGGACTCCTCGTTGCACGTGTTATTAGCCACCTCATGGCTGATGTCGAAAATTTGATTGCTAAATAGCATCGGTACGCAGAAGAGCTGCACAACAACGAACGTAACTGTGCACACCTTCCTGGCAACATGAACGTTCATCCAACGTGAGGTGACCGACCTCTCCCTCAGGGTCACTGTCCTGATGCAAGCCATGACCACGGCTAGCCATAGACTGGTCGCGTGCAGCGTGTTGCTCACCAGCATGTGCACGACCAGGTACAGCATCCAGGCATATGAGTAAAGCAAGGACAGACATGTCCCTTCCTGGACGACGAAGTGCAGCAAATAGACGATGTATGACGCCATGGTACCCATGTCGCACAAAGCGATGCCGACCAGGATGATGTTCACCGACGAGCGCATCTGGCGTTTGCTTAATACTATCACGTTAATGACGTTAGTGACGACGCCGAACACGCAGATGGTCAAGCAAATCCCTCCGTGATACGGTTCATAGACCGATCGCAGTCGGGACAGGTTCTGCAAGAAGATCCTCGTCTCGTTCGTGTCCGGAAACAGCTGCAAGCCATTGCTACACACGTGCACCATGGTTCGTCAACCAGGGGTACATCGGAATTGCCCAATGGCAGGGTGACCGCGATCTCGGTCGCCAATTTGGCAGTACCTGCGCCAGGTAGGACAGGAAACCAACTGCGGCACTGCTGACCGTCTAGACACAAGCCAACACAGGGCGAATTGCCGCTGCTGTTACTGAATCAGTTGCTGGTCACCAACTTCGTCTACGGAATTCAGAAC